CTACTATTACCGGTGAATTATATGGGCTTTTACTAGGTCTGATTATACCTTCATCTAACATTTTACTTATTTCGTTATTAACGAAATCGTTAACCGAATAAGCGTATGGATACTGCTTGCCATATACCGGTCTATCGTGTTCAGTGTTAATCTCTCCTTTTATATCCGTTCTGAACGGTAACTGTAAATTTATATTGGCATGGTCTTCTTCGATGATAGATACCATTTTCTCTCTGAGATTTTCTAAATTGTCCTCTTTGTAGGTTATTGTGTTATACAATTTCATTTTTTTCAATTCAGAATTTGCATAATTTTGAATGTCGGATATTTCTACGACGGCGCGTTCAGGATTTTTGCATCCCAAACTTTTAAATTGTTCATTGTCGGATAATTCAACGACGGCGTGTTCAGGATTCTTTAATCCCAAACTATTCGAACTTTTAGTGTCGGATAATTCAACGACGGCGGGTTCAGGATATTTGAATCCCAAACTATTGACGGATAATTCTTCGTCGGCGTGCTCAGGATTTTTTGATCCCAAGCTATATAAACTTCCTTCTACCTTTACTGAATCGCTTTTCATTTCTTTTTCTTCTTCAAAATATTTTTTTATTATATATTCCTTCAACGGAAGGATGGTTTTTCCTTCTATAAAGGTTAATTTGTTTAAAGAAAGGACCTCGTCATATATTAGTTTCTCCTCATTGTCTTTATAACTTAAAGTCCCCTTTCCTGTATCAATAACCGCTCCGATTTTCTTTAATAGGTTAAATCCTATTAGTAAATCTGCCTCCATTCCATCTATTTCATAAAACACTTGCTTTGTGTTGAAAATAGTTATATTATGGAAATATTTAATTATTGAAAACCCATTCACTGTAGCAACTTTCTTATAGATTGGTAATTCTTTTTTATTGTCGTAAATTCCTTTTTTTATATAACAGGAAGTTGCTCCCGTATCTATCAAAACTTTTAATTCTCTGTTTATTTTTTTGTCTACTCTTTTTAGGTAGGGCAGACCTACTTCGGGGGCTGATCTAAAAAATGATCCTCCTCAATGTTATTTATCCTCATTGCTTTATTAGCCGGTTGTTCCGACATTTCGTTTAGCTTTCGTTTCTGCGCTTGATTGTCGTTAGACTGATTATTCGGTACTACGTTTGCCCTAAAATGCTGGGCTTGGCTATAATTGTTATAATTGTTATTATTTCTCCTATAATAACCGTTAGTATTCTCCCGATAGTTTCTATTGTTATTATTTCCCCTGAATTGATTGCTGTTCTGTCGGTTCCGGATTTGTATAGATTCGTCTACCTCCATTGGTTCTGGGGCCTGATTTTGTTGTCTATTACCCAAGAAATAGGGTTGTCCCCAAGACATGTTATTCCTCTGCAAATCCCTTTTTTGGTCGAATGGTGAACTGTTAGTCCTAGGTTGTCGTTGGTTGAATCTTAAGGTATTAAAATTATTATTCCCTGAATTTCTGGGACCGCTGAATTGGTAGGCAAATTGGGCCCGAATGTTATTAGATTGCAATTCCTGTACCTTTGCTAAGGCATTCGGTAAATCTGGGGGATTCAATGAAAATAGGATTTCAGCAATGCCGCCGTTTAGGCCAGTGACAAAAATGCGTAAGGCATTGTCTCTAATTTTTTTATTTGATTCTTTGGTGATCTCACTGTCCTTTCCGTGAGTCATTATTGTCTTATTTATTAACAAGGTCATTTTCTTGTTAACCTCGTTATAGAAATCTATAATTGAAAGGTTCCCTTGTCGGAGAACGCTTAATTCCTGTTCTATTATGTAAATAGGTCTCTTGTCACTGTAAACAAAGTCAAGCCGTGAAAGTATGGCATCAAAATTTAGAACTGTCCCGTGGTTGGTCAGTGCGTCATGTGCTGGTCCTGTTATTTTGTTTCTCAAAATTGTTAATGCAATATAATATTGCTTACTTCCTTTCTTATATAACTTCACTGCAGTTTCTGCAGCTTCCCTCCATCCTACATATTGGTTTAATCCACCATTAAAAATTGGTAGGGATTCTATTACCTTCAATGTGGTGTCGTCTCTTATTGTCTCGTCTATTGTTTCTGCCTGATAATCCGATACCTGATCGGATTTAGTTTCTATTTGTTGTTTTAAATTTACAATTTGCTCTTGTACTTGTGAAATTTGAAGTGCTATCAATTGTTTGACCAGATCTGCTGTGAGATCGGTCCTTGCTTGAGAGTTAATCATTTTTAGTTTTTCAAAATCTAAAGTTAGCTGATCCACTTTTAATTTTTCTTATATGTTAGTTTTTATAATCTTATATATCCTAATTGAACTTATATATTTATTAATACAACTCTTGCTCACGAAATATCCGGTAGGGGTCGTCCTTCTTAGTTTGGCAGATCTTCGAACGGGTCTTCCTTCTTAAATTTCTTTGCTCAGCTGGGTCTTCTGGGGGTCTTCCTTCTTTGGCTTCGCTAATCGTTTCACTTTCTTTGTATTTTGGTTTTGTCGGTTTTGTTGGTTTTGTTTTTTAAAAACTTTGGGTTTCTTTGGTTTTTTTTGTATTTACGAATTGCCTTGATTAGCTTTTTGTTTTATTTGTATTTTGCGTTGTATTTGTATTTGTATTTGTATTTGTATTTGTATTTGTATTTGTTTTTGCACACCCTAAGCTCCGGTTTGTTTCCTTTTTATCTCACTTTTTTTTATCTATATCACACAGTCACTCCGCGTTTTTAATTTTGAAGGATTTATTCCATTAATTAATTGTCCTTCGGGTTTCGGCACGACGCAACACTTTTATCATTCGGTGTTTTTTATACAACGTCGCCCCACGTTGGGCGCCAATTAAACAATAGCGGTAGCGGATTGTGTTTTTAAAAAGTTTTTATTTTACTTCGAACTTCACTGATATAGATTTAAGTAGAGGGTCACAAAGGAATTCCGGGCAAGGGATTGCGCGATCTTAATATTGAGCTAGACTTTGCGGTGTCGCTGCTGGATCAAGACTGATTTGAACTTTCTGATCTTTGCATCGTTGATCCCTTTCGGGAATCGTTTTTCTATAAACATTTCAATTGATTTCGCCATCCCGAGTATTAGATTTCGTCATCCAAAGAGAGAACTGTAAAAGGCCTAAAGTGCAGGATCTGCAGAAAGCCGGGAGTGAGATTGTTTATGAGAAGCCGGGTGTGGGCAAACATTGGTTTTCCATTTAGGCGAGTGTCAAAGAATGGGATTGCGGCGGGGGCGCTTGAGATTGTACATCTTAGAAATCAATTAGGCGGAGGCCCAAGATTGAAATTGTTTTCGTTTTGGAAAACCAAAGATTGTTTACAACTCGTATAAGAGCTCAATGGAATTGGGTACGTTAACTTGCACTTGGAATGCGCCAGGAATAAGACGATTAAGTGACGACCAGAGCTCAAGTACTGGCTAATCGGTAGAGAAGCTGCTTGTCTGGCATCCATAAAAGTAGTTTTGACCATAGCTTTTATATAATAGAAAGATGACTTCCGCTTGGAAAACTGTGTCGATTTTGATATTCTGAGGTAATCCAAGTTTAAGTACTGCTCAGTACCGACTCGGATGTGTGCCTCGTTTAATCAACGCTTAACTTAAGGGAAGCCCTTAACGCCAACTGATGATCCAGGGGGAGGACACTGGATAATGGATACTGGGGGAGCACTTAACGTTGATCTATCGGGTGGGCCATCAGCTCCTGTGCCTGATAATCTCATTTACACCTTAACATCTACACTTGTGCGATAATAATCAAGGATAACAAGAGAGCTTTCGGGACGAGTGTTCTTTTGTGTGCGTGTGTCTGAAAGTTTAATTTGTAGATTAGCTGCCATTGTCTCTTGGGGCACGGCCCGGCACGTATGAGTACGTCCCGCAACCATCCTCCAGATAAGCTACTTATTGAGCTGGAAAACTTTTGCCACTTGTTCGTCAACTTTCTGAGGCAAGAGCGGGGGCTGCCGCATGCCGTGAAAACTGGTCATTGATCCCAGAAGTAGGCTATGCAAAAGTGAAGTACAAGCCCAATTAGGGCTGAGACCACGACTCCCCGCTCTCTCTAAACGGATTACCTGTGCGTTGGCCGTTGCATAAACGTCAAGAGGTCGTGGTGGAAAGCTACACATGCTCAAATTCGATTTAGTCGAGAGCAATAGAAATACAGACAGATAGACCCATTCACTTGTCAATTTGGTGAAGGCTCGGTGAAGCTCTTAACCAAATCCCAGTCCCAAGCCCAATCCCACTCCAATGTGGAGCTGACAGCCAGCCAGTCGAGCAGCGAGGCCTCGGCTGGGAATCATTGTCAAGGTTGGGGGCTATAATTAAACAGTCCGCCCGATAATTGGAAATCAAATGCTGTCCGCCTGCCAATACGAGACTGTGCTTATGCTTTCACGCCCACACACGAGTCGGATCGGATTAGAGGCGGCCAAATTGAAGAGTCTATTTTCGACACACTCGTCTGTATGTGCCTCTGCTCTGCTCTTGATCTGTGTACTACAGGTGTATGCTGTGCGCCATATGTGTGTCTAGCGGGTACGACAATGATTAGACCATGTTTACACAAGTCTTACGGGGGTGGTGGGTGGTGGGTGGCTCCGCGTACACCCTCCATTAAGTGCAAATCGAAATGGAATGCGACAAAGTTGCAGGCGGTTGCTGCTCTCTGCCGCACGGGCGAGTGTGGTGAAAAGCTTTCTTCGCTCTCTTACAGACTTTCGGCCCTCTCTCTCTCTCTCTCTTTTTGGTCTGCTCTTTGCTCTATGTTTCGTTTCATTTGTTTTGCTTTGCTTTGCCTTTGTTTAGCTTTGCTTTGTTCTGTGGGGGCCTGGGGTAACCCCCTCTTGAACTTTTAAGAAAACTTTTCAATCAAGATATCGTGGGTTTCTTTTTTGGTATGGTATTGAAAGCAGAGACAACAGACTCCAGGCACTATCTTTCGACGGGATTACATATATGTATTTGTATATATCGTATAGTATATCGGGCTTGAAATAAGGAAAAGTCTTAAACCTGAAAATCCATCAAAACAGCAAACTTTTATCGACTGGACTTTGCCTTAAAGATGCTAGAAAAGACATTTCCATTGTGATTTGTAGTCCAGTTTTAGTAGGATATAAACAAACAAAAAAACACCTATGAGAAAAATTATAGAAAATTATAAAAAATTCAAGAAAATCAGCAGCAATGGCGTCCAGTAGTGTCTAACCAATAAAAATCAGAAATAAAATAACAGGAAACGGCCGCAGCCGAAAACTAAAAAGATGTCCATGGCATTGTGCAACCTGAACAGCGACGGCAGTCAAGCTCCGCCGCAGCAGCCGCAGCAATCACAGGCTGCCGCTGCCGCTGGCGCTGCCACAAGCGCCGCAGGAGCAGGGGCAGGGGCAGGACACACACAGGAGAGCATACTCGACGCGAGCAATGCCACAACGCCGCTGCTGCTGGGACACGAGCAGGGCAGCAGCAGCACTGCCGGAGAGAGAGCGCCAGAGCGAGAGCGCGGCGGCGATGTTGTGGATGGCACTGCAACATCGATACCCATGCCACTGGAAATGGTGGGAGCTGTGGAGCAGCACCAGCAGCAGCAGTTATCGCTGCCAACGCCACTGCCAATGCTCAATGGCAGCCATATAATGATGGCATTGCCAGGCGGAAATTTGAATTTTGTAACGGGAACGACTGCGCAGGCAGCCGTGACGCAGCAGCAGCAGCAGCAGCAGCGGATGATAAGCAACGGCGCAGTTGCGCCCTCGACCAATGACAGCAATAATAACAATAATCCCAACAACAATGTGGACAATACGAGCGACGACTCGAATCCGGTCACAATTTACAGGTAATGTGCGGGAGAGGGACAGGGAGAAAGGGGCAGGGTGCTGGGAAGAGATGGTTCGAAGCACCATCGGTGTGGGAGGCTGTAACTATTCATGGCAATAATTAAGAATAAATGGTTTTTTCCTTTCGTAAAGAAAATCCTTAAACACAATTGGAAGTTGCCTTCAACATCAATCACAATCAATTACCTATCCAACTTCACAGAAACCTAGGAATACGGAAAATATATGTACATATGTATGTATATATCTTTTTTGTATGCACACCCTGCCAGGATAGTTCGGGGACCTGCAGAACACGACTCTGAAGGCGAAAAGACGGCAAAAGGACAAAATAGGCCAACATTTTTGTATTATGTATTTTCACATAAATAGTTATCTATTAAAATCACATTGTTGAACTCATTTTGTAGAATAATTTTCGTTCATTCAAACATTCAAAGCACTCTGATGGGACTGCATAGTAAAAGTTTACTTAAATTGTTAACTTTGTACAAGTTACAAGAAACAATTTCTGTGTTAAAAGCACATTGCTCTTTCTAGCGATCAGCTGTGGTAAACAGCTGACAACCTAACAGTGGTGCGCTCTGTTAAAAATTGTATCAACGGCACAACTTGCTCAGCGATCAGTGATGTACATATATGAGACATTAGTGCTGGTTATAGCTGGTTAGTCACTAAGACTTTTACGCATAAATTCATGAATCAGATGATCTTATTATTGCCTTTTTCTTATACCGATAGCCAAAACATCGACAAGAATAAGAAGAACGTAAACAAAGACGCTCAATACTTCGGTTTTATGAAAGAAATGTTCCAATTTAATGGGGCTAAGAATGCAAAGTGGACGGAAATGGTTTGCAAGAGCGTCTATTTCAACAAAAAAGTCGGCACGTGAAATTCAAGATTCGAACCCGATTATATTTACAGCGTCGCGATAGTAAGCCATGCATCAGTCGCGGTTCACGCGTTCGATACTTCACTGAGCGCTGATCAAGGCTGATATGTGGCGGCTTGAAGTATAATATTCTATCCCATGCAAAACGGATATCTGGATGCAAACGGTGTCAAATATCTCACTAAACTCATAAAAGCATAAAATTCACTCAATATTCCCATTGAAATAATGTTAACTCTTAGAGGACTGAACCGTTGACGTTATACGTTGGGGAGAAAATCAGTTTTAAGTAAAATATTTACTAGATATATTCAAATCCCATTTGTAGCCCACTTTCTGATATATTGGGTTCTGTTCTGCTTGCAGGTGCCGGGCTCCAATCGCGTCACTCGACTGTATGGAGGAGTTCAGTGGTACGGGCGGTCATCTTGATTTCGGTATCAAATTTCTCACTATCAAATAGGCTTATCATTTACGTTGATTCCTTTCCAAGTTACGGATTGTTTTGACTGTCTTGCCTTTGTATGCTTTCACACGATAATCGCATGTTCTTTCTTTTATTTTTTGAGCATGTCATAGTCATCGATAGCTGTACGCTTTTTTTTGTATTATTATTTCTTCTTTGGCAAATTACCTCGCCATCAGAAAAGTGCGGGGGCAAAAAAAGAACTTGTAATTAAAGTTGTAATTTATTTTATTCGTTTATACAATAACCAAACGAAACGAAAACCAAAACAAACCGCGAGGCCGGGGGCGTGAGTGAAACATTTAAACACCCCCCCACCACCGACACATTCCCAATGGCACTGCCGCAAGCCGCATGCCACGCCGCACCGCACCGCACCGCACGCACGGACGCAGAACACGCACCGGAGGCACGCACTCTGCGGCGGCAGAGACCAAAGGCTGGTGGCAGGAAGGAAGGAAGGAAGGAAGGAACCAACAGAAGAATGTCACTTTTGTTTATTCATGTTCATTGCATGTCGCTGCTGTTATTGTTGCTGTGCTTGGACCTCTACCCTGCCTCAGCCGAGCCATTAGCAACTCGATAATACTAGTTTTTTGGTGGCATTTTCATTAATTTCTTTGAGTGAAGACATCAGATAGTGCATCCATTCGTAGAACGTTGGATAAATGCAAATCAAATACAAACTAGAACTAGTCAATGGATTTGCAGGATAATCATATGGGTCCTCCACTCAAGCGACATTAGTCCAGCGAGTCCAGACATTATTTAGAGATCGCCTTTTGCGTAAAATTCTCAGAAAAGAAAGACTCAAGTGGAACCTACCTATTTTGTATGTTTCGGCACCGAGAATCGAGTCCTCCTCAATGTACTTCTGTCTCACGATCCGTTTGATCTGCGATCTGTGTAGGGTATCTGGTGCTTCGGCATTGTATTCGTTAGACGCTTGCCTGCTTAGACGCTGTTCATAATAATACCTAATTTTTTCTTACGTGTTAATGTTTGTGTTGTTGTTGCTGTTGCTTTTTGCACGTCTTTTTTTGTGTGTGTGTGTGTTTTTTTTTGTTCCTCGGACACACTCGAGCCCCGATGCGAAGGCCTCACTAACGAACCGCTCCCTCTGAAACCGAAACCATTTCCATGCGGCACGTGAACCGACGATGACCATGTACCTGGGCATTCCGTGGAGCGCAGGCCGCTCGATAAGTCTCGGCTCGAACCCGGCCTTGCCGCTGCGCCACGGCTCGACACCGACGCCGGGACTGCGGTACAAGAATCTGGGCAAGAGCGGCCTGAGGATCTCCAATGTGGGCCTGGGCACCTGGCCCGTCTTCTCGCCGGGCGTCAGCGACGAGCAGGCGGAGGCCATCCTCAAGCTGGCCATCGAGAGCGGCATCAATCTGTTTGACATCTCGGAGGCCCACTCCGAGACGGAGATCGGTAAGATACTGCAGCGCGCGGGCTGGAAGCGTACCGCCTATGTCATCACCACGAAGGTCTACTGGAGCACCAAGTGAGTGGACATATCCCTTCATATCCCCTCATACCCCTCATATCCTTCATTCCGTGTCGATCCATCGCAGGTCCGAGGAGCGGGGCCTCTCGCGCAAACACATCATCGAGTGCGTGCGGGCCAGTCTGCAGCGCCTGCAGCTGCAGTACATCGACATTGTCATCATCCACAAGGCGGATCCTATGTGCCCCATGGAGGGTGAGTGTCTAGGGTCCTGTCCATTCTGTGAGCATGCCATAGGAAAACGTTGTAATCCCTTTTTGTCGCTTCTCCGCTGCCCCTCAATTCTCCCACAGAAGTGGTTCGTGCCATGAGCTATGTGATACAGCAGGGTTGGGCTATGTACTGGGGGACGGCACGATGGAGCCAGGTGGAGATCATGGAGGCCTACACCAACTGCCGGCAGTTCAACTGCATCACCCCGATCGTGGAACAGTCCGAGTACCACATGTTCTGCCGCGAGAAGTGCGAGCTCTATCTGCCCGAGATGTACAACAAGATCGGGGTGGGCCTCATGGCCTGGGGTCCGTTGTCGATGGCCCTGAGCGACACCCAGAACGGGGACAAGATCTTTCTGCCCAAGGGCTCGTTCAAGACGAAGAGTTTCTCTTGGACCGAAGACGAGATCAATCGGAATGTGAGTGCGATCTATGTTATCTGTCAATCGACACTTTAACAACTATTCTTGGATGCTTCTATTACTATTTCAGGCTGCTCTTTCGCCGCAAGGCAGCTGGGGCAAGGACCGTATCGAGGAGGGGCGTCGCCACTGCGACCGACTGCGCGACCTGGCCGCCCTGGCCGAGAAGCTGGGCTGCAGTCCCACGCAGCTTTCGATCGCCTGGTCGCTCAAGCACGAGCCCGTCCAGTGCCTTCTCCTGGGCGCCACCTCTGCCGAGCAGCTGCACCAGTCTCTGCAGTCCCTGCAGGTGAGAGATATACATTACATTCCAAGAACTTGCACCTGATGATTCCATACACATAGTAGAAAATTAAGAGCCCATATTTCCTGGGCCCTTTCTAATGATTTTTTTGGACTTGTGGCTTGTGAATTGATTGTAACTGTATTTCAGCTACTGCCGCGCCTGTCATCGAGCGTAATGCTGGAATTGGAGCGGATATTGGAGAATAAACCGGTACGGCCGCCAATGATATCGACGCTGGCGCTTCGGTGACAATCAGCCTGCCCGCAGGGGCCGCTCAGCCTGAGCGGGGGAGGTCCCTGCGGCGCCGATTCGCCGAAGCATGTCGAGGATGAGGCCTTCATCGAGGAGGTGGACGCTGCCAAGGATGCTGCGAAGCAGGGTTTCTGTCTCATTCAGTGACGAAAGGAGTCCTTAGATAATGATAATAAATTTTTGAAAGTGATTAGTAGTAAAACTAGCCTAAGTAGCAATACTATGACGACAACAATAAGCAAGCAAGAACTACAACAACAGCAGCAGCAGCAGCAGCAGCAGCATCAGGCCATCACCATCCGCAGCAGCTCGATGACAGTCGCAGGAGGAGGAGCAGGACCAGGAGCGGCAGCAGGAGCGGCAGCAGGAGCGGCACCTCTTCCCTCTCAGTCACAATTTGACACGCTCAACAACAACTACGGCAGCAGCCTCACTAATACCAATACCAATATGAACATCAGCGAGACACCGCCACGTCGCTCCCTGCTCAACTTCAAGTCCCTGGACTTTCACATCAAATCCCTCTACAGCGGACTGCGCACCGGCAGCACAAGCCCCGGCAATGCGAACAGCTCTCCGGGTGGTGTCCAGGTGCTAGCGGCGGACGGAGGCCAGCGACGGATGCCGTATCTGCGCATCGAGAGCGTCGATCCAGACGGAGAGCCGTGCGCGGGACCATCCTCCAGACGAGAGTCGGTTGTGGGTCAGCGATTGCAGGTCTCGCCCAGCCTCCTCTCTCCATACAGCGGCGGAGGTGCAGGTGGAGGTGTGGGAGGGGGTGGAACAGGAGCCAGCCTGCTGATGCCCTCATCGGATGGTTCAACCATACGCCGCTCCTCCACCTCCGACATTGTGGCCTGCCGTCGAGGCGGCGGATCCCAGGACAGTCGCCGGCCCAGCACCTCGGATCTGCTGCGGCGGGCCAGGGAGAGGCGGGGCAGCGAGGCCCGCATGGGGCGCAGTGTCTCGCACGGCGGACTGACGCGAGGTGGTGGCTCCTTTGGCGGGGGCCTGGGTGGAAGACGCACCAGTATGGCCTTCTAAATGAGACAAGCGAAGCGAGGCAGGAGATCAAATCAGAAATCGGCTGACTAAATGGCGCTTATGAATTTTTATCTAGAGAAAAAAAAACAAAACAAAAATATCAGCGTGTAAGAAAACAATTTTTTTTCCGTCGATCTATCATTATTATTGTTATACTTATAATTGTTATTCCTCGAATGAAGAGAACTCAAGTTAAAAACTTCAAAATGCGTATTGTAGATTAATGGATGGCATGACGAAAAGCTGAAACGAACATTACATCAATCTATCTATCTATCTATCTACCTATCTATCTACCCCTATCAGTCAGTCAATCTACTCCCCGTTTCTGCCGGCACTTTCACCTAAAGTGCACACCTTGAACCTTGAATCTCTCAATCCATCTATCTGTCTCTCAATCTATATATTTCTTTGTTTCACTGGTCTACGGCCCCCCGCTCATAGCATCGTCCCCAAACTTTTATGACAATATTAGATCCTAACTATCGTAAACTATCGTATGGCAAAGCAAAGCGAAGCTAAGCAAAGAATTTCCGCTCTCAATCTCAATCGCAATCTCGTTTCGGTTTTTGAAGAAGGAAGGGAGTGAAGTGGAGTATCGACCCCATAGTTACCCTATGTGACAGTCATATCAAGCGAAACCCAAAAGCAACCTAAGTGCATAAGAAAAACAAAAGAAGAGTCCTTTTGATTAATCAATTTGTAAGCTAAAAGAATCTTTAAAGGATGGCTGGATGGTTGGACGGATGATGCCTCATTGCAGGATTGATAACAATTTCAGCTAATAAAAAAATTCAACTAATAACAAAAAAAAACAAATACAACTAACACAATGAACAATTCAAATCAAATCTTATTATATAGAGAACATTAATATTATGAAATTATAATTATGATGTAGTTAAAGGAGCAGCAGCAGCAGGAGCAACATTCAAGCAAGAACAAAAATGTTTTTTTTTTTTGTTGAAACAAACCAAAAAATTATTATACAAAATGCCTTTCATAGCAGATGCAACAGAAGCAACAAAGTATATATTTTAAATAAATGCAGTATATACTAAATAGATATATATACACACACACACACACACACATGCATATGCCTAGGTATTGCGAGGAAATGGAAAAGCAGGAAGGCAGCAGCAAATTGTTATTGATTGCATCCCAATATCCCATACATAGACATAGCCCCCAAACTCCTCCCCAAAAAAAGCGAAAAACTGAAATTATTATATAGAAAAGTACATATTGTATGTACATATGTATGTATGTATATGTAGGAGCCCGATCCCATGTAACTATTTTATCATCATTATCGAGTACATAAAGTCTTTCTCACATACGGACTGTGATTTCATGTAAAAGTAAAGTAAAACTAAATGAATTAATTATATTAATGAAGAATTCAATAAATTACATATTGTATAACTTAAGCTAAGTTCATTAGAGAAAAAATACACACACACACAAACACCCACACACACACACTCGTGCAAATATTAAGAAAACAAAGAGAACAAAAGCAAAAGCGGAAACTAAATAGCAATTTTTCAAATCGAATGCCATTAGACATACTCGTACATATACTCGAAACTCTACTCTACAATTAATTAATCAAATGCGATTGCCTTAATAATGAATAATACCAAACAAAAGTGTGAAAAAGAACAAAAACAAAACAAACAAAAAAAAGAAGGAAAGTGACAGTGAAGGGCTGGTCGGGGGGACGGTGTTCCTCAAATTTCGAAATATATTGTATCGTACACCCATTGCATCCGATCCTTGCACTGTTGCTTGAGAAAACGCCCCACACGCAGATACAATTGGTTGAAATCCATCTGATACACACACGCAGAAGTATTCATATATACTTATGAGAATAATTGCATTTTTTAGTAAGTAGTTAATCCGTCCTGTCCTCGACAAAAAGGCCAGAAAGAAGGAAGGAAAGACAAGTGGTCGCTGCTGCTTAACCGATAGCCGTTTCGCTCGTTAGACTGCTTAACTTTAACCGTTAACCGCTAACAGAGTAACAGTACAATTACGATGCTGTACTGGTACAGTGCGTTTCGAGGCTTCAAGACTGTTGTCAAGCTCAGTCAAATACTGAATCCAGATCCAGTCGGACGACAACTAGCATTTACTCAACTTTTGTGATGAACTAACCCTCTCTTTCTAAGATTCTAAGGTGGAACGCCCCCCCCCCCCCCCCCCCCCCCCCCCCATCCCCCTCTCCCTCAAAAAGGGTGAACGGTTAAGTGTGTACAGTCGCCACAAAATATCGTACTGGGATCGGTCGGCTAGCAGCGTCACAGCATCCATCAATTGTGGAACCAGAAAGCAATAATGCGAAACCAATGCTGAATATTGTTCAACCAACGAATTGATGTACATACCCGTACACACCAACGCATATATACACACATACACCGCCCCCCGCACACACACACACAAACCATATAGATTTCGGCACATTTCGAAGAATTATTGAGAATTATTTGAGGCCGTTGTTATCGCAGCTATTCTTGAGTCAGGATTCTACAGGACTCTAGGGCCCGTAGCTAGTAAAAATTAATAAGAGTATGCATCCCATGTACGGGTGTGCGTATGCCTAATTGTATCCAAAAACACCTACAATATACAGACACGGGATGTACGACAAAAACAACAGAAATGTTCTAAGCAAATGCAAACAGAAAAACTAATAATAATAGTAATTATAATAAAAAGAACCGTAACAGAAAGTATTAAGCGAGAGCGAGACAGCAATATAAATGAGAGAGAAGGGAGATTATACTCCAGTGAATAAATCTAGTCTACAAATTTTACTTGACCTAAAAAAAAAAAGAGAAATTCAAAACTAAAACGAAAATAACGCAGATTGCTGATGGATAAAAAAATAAAATGGGGGAAACAACAATCGAAGAAAGTGCATAACAAAATGGATAGAGTAATATAAAAAGTATCTTAAAATTATTTTCTTATCGAAACTGGCAATAATAAATATTAATATTAAAATAAATACAAATAATAATAATAATTATATTGTACACGCATAAGCCACATGTGGTAACAACTTCATAAGTTAAACACATCGCATAGAGAATATCAATTTTTGACTAATTATATAAAGAAAAAAAACACACACACACGCACATACTCACACAGACAAGTAAAAGGACATATGTACTAAGAGTGGACTGGAAGTTGTGCTGAAGATTAACCCTCTTTGACCTGATGCTGTAGTATGAAATGATAAAGAATGCCCTCAATATGTAAAAGCTATATTTAGCAGCACCCTGTATTAGTGAACTCTTAGTACACACACACACACACACACACACACAGACAGACAGACAGAGGGAGGCAGAGCCATAGACACGAACACAAACACCACTTGATTTCAAATTAAGTCCCACGCAAAGCGTATAAACACACGGTCACAATTTTGCAATGTTACACCCACACACCTACACCCACACACACACAACTGCAGATCAGATCAGCTTTACTTTACTTTAGTTTAGAGTCTTACACGATCCTGCGCGTGGTCGCAGCAGGCGGCATGCTTAGGAACCAACCCTAGCCGAGGGGTGACAGACACTCGACGCTTGATTATAGCCCGAACACAAACAAACCAGTAATAGGACTATATACGGAGCTAAGACATCATATAATCCTTACAAAATAAACACTTACCCAAATGCCACATTTTTTTTTTGCTGGTTACTATAGAAAGCCAAACAAAAACCAAAAACCAAACAAAATAAAGGAGAAAAGCTAATAAATAATAACAGATGAACCTACAAATTATGTATGTATGTAATGCAATAAGCATTATATCAACTTGGCGAGATGATTAACAAAGAGAAAAGAAAATGGAAACCAAACAAGCATAAACAAGAGAAAATTGTTTATATTTCACTTTTAAAACCACATTTAATACTAATAATTCGAAAAGCTAATAATATAAGTTATAACAATAACGAACAACCAGAAGAGAACGGCGGAGAACAGCAACAACACAGCTAAAATACTGAAAAACTTATATAAAAATACAAACCAAACTCTTATCTTTCAACCAAATAGCCAATCGTTTTTCTTTTTCAATCGTAAATGAGCGCAAAATCTGCTGATGGGCAGCACTGGTGGCACTACCGACTCGCCGCCTTGCAGAAAATATCCATATAATTGGATTCGATTTTGCATGTGTATCCCCAGTTTAGTTATCCTCCAGCTCTATTAGCCGAGACTCTCTCGCGCCACCCGATCACAAAGAGACATGCCACAACCCGATCGGCTTCCGTATTGCAGAGATATAGCGTGCAGAAGAAACCAGTATTTTTATGAATTACCATTCTTCGGAAGGCTATATTTCAGACAAATAGGGCCAGATCAGTGAAGGGCCAACTCTCCCAGGATCGTGAGAGCCCAGACTGTCGAACTGCATCAAAAGCTCGACTACGAAAATGAGGCCGATTTTTGGCAATTTGAATGATGTAACCATCATGATTTTTTGCGAAAATCGTGAGAAAACGGATGTCCTTTTTTCCGATGGCAGTCGATTGGCAGGACTCGCGCGATCACGGAGAGACGCACCACATCCCGATCGGCTTCCGTATTGCAGAGATATAGCGTGCAGAAGAAACCAGTATTTTTATGAATTACCATTCTTCGGAAGGCTATATCTCAGACAAATAGGGCCAGATCGGTGAAGGGCCAACTCTCCCAGGATCGTGAGAGCCCAGACTGTCGATCGGCATCAAAATCTCGACTACGAAAATGAGGCCGATTTTTGGCAATTTGAATGATGTAACCATCATGATTTTTTGTGAAAATCGTGAGAAAATGGAAGTCCTTTTTTCTGATTGCAGTCAATTGGCAGGACTCGCCCGATCACGCAGAGACAAGCCACGCGCCGATCGGTCCATAAATAGCCGAGATATAGCGTACAGAAGAAACCAGTATTTCAAAGACATGCAAATCGTAGTTTTTGGAAGGCTATATCTCAGACAAAAATGGCCAGATCGGCGAACGGTCAGCTGTCCCAGGATCGTGAGGGTCCTGACTGTCGATCGGCATCAAAATCTCGACTACGAAAATGAGGCCGATTTTT